CTTATGACTGGAGAATTGCAGAATCCATGAAGCATGCCTACTTCCTCTGAAAATTGTCATGCTCTGTATAATATATAAATCTGCAATGACGACTGTAGGTAAAATGCTAATGTTTTTCCCTCAAAATGGATTTTCTATTTTTGTAGGTTATGACACACCTACGTGTGATATATGAGCGCATGAATCAGTCTCTTAGCAGTTGCTGAGGAGATTCAAGATGAAGTGGGTAAGTTAAATGGTTTTTTTTTAATTGTAGAAGCATCATAACAATCTACAAAAGAATTAAGTCTTGAAGTTAAAATAGAAAAAGAGTTAAAATACAATGGCCCCAATTCTCTATAATGAGAATAGCTAACATAAGAAGACAGATCTGTCAGTGGTTTAAAACTATAAATGCAGAGGGAGGTGAGATTCAAGATGAAGTGGGTAAGTTAAATGGTTTTTTTTTAATTGTAGAAGCATCATAACAATCTACAAAAGAATTAAGTCTTGAAGTTAAAATAGAAAAAGAGTTAAAATACAATGGCCCCAATTCTCTATAATGAGAATAGCTAACATAAGAAGACAGATCTGTCAGTGGTTTAAAACTATAAATGCAGAGGGAGGTGTAAAATATTGGAGGTACTTTTTATCTTGATTGATGAACTCAATTAATTAATTAATCAATTAAGCGGTAAGCAAAAGCTTATAGGTTAATGCAATAGATTAACCGGTAAGCAAAAGCAAATAGGTTAAAATGCTATAGATTACACGCATTTCCCTCCCTCTGCAGATACATTTTTTTAGCAGGCTGGCCAGCAGCCCAGCTCAGTCCTGGCTTGCAACGTGTCCAAGATCTTCCCCTGCTGTAGGTCTGCATTGAAAGTGTATTAGGAGCCAGGCGGGCAGGCAGCCCAGCTCAGTCCTGGCTCTCACCGGGTCCAGGAGGTCAGACCCACCTCCCACCTCCAGACAGGGGCTGCTGCTACTCCGCACTGCTGCCTCTGTCTCAGCAGCAGGGCAACAGGCAGCCAGTCTGCCAGGGGAGCTGGTTTTTAAATTGGCTCCCATCGTGGAATAGCTCCCACGTGACACCCCACGCTGCTGCCTCTGATACAATGGCTGCCGCCCCCGCAGACTATAAACTAGTCGACTAACCGTTAAAATTTCATGGGGTTGCTTGACTATTCAATTAACTGATATTTAACATCCCTACTCTGAACTGAGTCATCTTCTCGAGGAACAGAATGGACAAAGATTATTCATATTTTGCTTGTATAATGGTCTTTCCATCCTGCATTGTGTTTCTTTGAAGTGGCTATCTTTTTATACAGGGCTACTTTAATTCTCACAGAACATATGCGATGTTATCTTCACAATTTTTATCTGACAGTGTATTAATTTACACTTGGAGCCTACATACTGAAAAAGAAATCATGGACATCTATTGACTCTTGTCACCACTAGATTTGGGAAGTTAATACAGAGAGAGCAAATCATGTTTATTCTTTTTGGATTTTTAATTCAATATGATGCATCTAATTCAGGTGTCTTGAGAAGACCCCAAGCAAAATTTAAACCTGCAAGACTCAGGCATCTTTTCTTCCACTGATTAGTAAAATGTTTCCCAGGTGGCATATCTCCAGTTAAATTTCAGCCCTCATTGATACAACATGGGAATTTGAGAGTGGCAATGAATCATACCACTGTAGAGGCTGATTCAGGTGTATACAGAGCTTGAAGTGCAAAAAATAAAATAACTGTTTTGAAAATCTAGATCTCTGTGTTGCAAATTCAAAGAAGGGAGATTTTAAGGTAATGAGGAGCAGAGAGTGTGAGTAAAAGATCTGAATCCAGCAGTCTAGATTATGCTATTTTTAAAGCTTTTAAATACCATGGCCAAGAGGAGCCAAACATCTAAGTACTCCATGAGCAGTGAGGAAGGCATCAAGTACTTTCTTCTACTCATTCCCTGCCATCATGTCCTGATGATGTTAGACAACACCATTACCATGTTCTGCATCAACAAATGAGAGGGAGGAGTGAAGTTCCCAATCCTGTGTGCAGAAGCAATCAATCTGGAATTGCTACATCAGCATCCAGATCACCCTATCCCCAGCCTGCCTTCCAGGGGCATAGACTATACTTGTGGACTCACTCAGCAGGCCCGTGGCACTTGACTATGAGTAGGAACTTCACGACAAGTACTATACTGTATCTTCACTCAGTAGGGAGCTCCCACCAGAGACATATTCCCTTTCAGGCCAATAACAAGTGTGCCACATCTTGCTCTAGGAAGCCCTTAGTTATCACTCTCAGGGAGATTCTCTCCTCTCCTATCAGACCAGCTCAACTATTCCTTCCCCCACTATTGTTTATCTCTCAGATGCTACATAAAATCTGATGATGACAAAGCAACAGTCATACTAATCTCCCTCCCTCTACTGGCTCAGACAGTTCAGGTTCCCCAACCTGCGGTACATTCCATCTGCCAATTATCATCCTGAATTTCCCCAACCTTCTGACCCAGTGCAACAGCCAGATCAAGCATTCAAACTCATGACCACTCCACCTCCAAATACGGTGTTTGTTTGGGCACCATCCTAGAATAGGCATGTTCCTCTTCAGGGCATCCTCTCTAAACAGGAAAGACTCCACTAGGTAATGTTACTAGGCTAAATGGAAA